GAGATCCCCCGATCTCCACTGTGCTCAGGAGCGCGAGATCCCCCGATCTCCACTGTGATCAGGAGCGCGAGATTCCCCGATCTCCACTGTGATCAGGAGCGCGAGATCCCCCAATCTCCAGATCACTGCAAGTCTGGCTCTGGTATTAGTACAGAGGTTTGAGATCGCCCCCCCCACACACACACCCCAGTGCGTGAGCCCTCATCTGGGCCGGGCACACCAGCTCTCCCTCTGGCACGAACACAGCGACATACAGAGCCCACAGATGCTCAGACAGCAGCCAGGCCCTCTGAGGTGGAACTGAGACTTTGTTTTTCTCGGTGACTCGTACTAATTTGCTTTGTTGCGTATTTAGTTTTTTCATGCACGCATTTTGCAGATACCTGCACATTTCATTATGACACGCTCTCAGGTGCAGGAAAAAAATACAAAAATAAAAACAGCCCAGGTAGGGAAAAAAGGAAAGAGATCAAATTCCCATTTATTTCTGTCAGCAGTGGGTTTGTACAAAGTGCTGACTGGCAAAGCAGGCCTTGTGATTGTAGACAGCAAGCACTGAGCCCCAGGGCTGCTGAACAGCAGAAGGGTCCCGTTTCAGGTGCCTCCCAGCACCCCAGTAGAAACAGATCTGTCTGCAGCTGCTCGCTTGGTGAGCTAGGTCAGTTATCGTCAGCTATCATGTGATGAGCAGTGGAGGTCAATACGTCCATTAAAACTCATGGTTACTGTGTTTAACGCATTGTTCACAATCAGGTGTAAAGCACATACTGGGAAGAGTTCAGTGCCAGGACAAGGGTGTGGTGTAGCCAGGGCTCGAACCCAAGGCACCTAGGCAGTGCAGCCTCTCGTGAAGCCCCAGGTAGAGACTTTCCTGGGGCCCTGTACAGCCCTCTCGCTGTGCAGGTTTGTAGGACAGTGTGAAAGGTAAGACTGTTATGTGCGTCACCCCGAACTGCAGGTGCCCCCGCACAGGCTGACAGTCATCTGCAGGAGCCCCAGGGACATGTGCAGCTGCGCTGGGGACCCCCGCGGGAAACGGGACGCGCCGCTGACGGAACCGCTATCCTAAATCGGTCAAATCGCCCGCAATGCATTAACGAAGTGCCTTCACGCAGAGCGGTTCTCCCGACTGGGGACTGGGAGTGCATGAAGAGGAACCGCTTAGGACCTGGTCCAGAAGGGGTTTGTGGCTCCGGGTAAGAGAGTGAACAGCCTTGCCCAGGGCCAGGAGCCAGTCAGGCCTGCCTGGCCCTGCTGCTGCTCTCTCCTCCTGCCCCGGCTCCCTCGAACAGCACACTCTGCATTCCTGAGCGCGACTTTGATAAACTAGAAGGCTCCATTGGAACTGAAGGCTCAGCAGTTTAGCAGTTACTAATTTTACCTTCTCGCTCTCACAGACATCCATCTTAATTGAGGAGGCAGTGTAAATAAGGCTCGTCCCTCTGCTGGTGACGCAGCCCAGCCCCGACACGCGGTGCACAGAGGAGATCACGCCCCAGCCCTCAGAGCTCAGGTCTGCAGTGGCAGAAAGCAACACAGCGGCCTCTCCTTTCAAGACAACAGCCACTCTCTACTGCCCCTGCGCAACTCCAGCTACCGGCTGAACCTGAGAGGAGAGTATCGGCACAAGGGTACGGGCCAGCGCAGGGCACACACACACACCCTCAGCGCAGGGCAGGCACGCACACACCCTGAGCGCAGGGCTCTCACGCACACAGACACTCAGCTCAGGGCTCGCGCACAGACCCTCAGCACAGGGCAGGCACGCACACACCCTGAGCGCAGGGCTCTCACGCACACAGACACTCAGCTCAAGGCTCGCGCACAGACCCTCAGCGCAGGGCACGGACACACACTCAGCGCAGGGCACCTATACATATGTGGGAGATACAGACAGGCACCTATACACTGTGTGTGGGAGATACAGACAGGCGCCTATACACTGTGTGTGTGGGAGATACAGACAGGCAAAACTATTCATTGTGTGTGGGAATGTCCAGCTGAACACACACATGATTCTATCTGTACCTGCGGGGACTCCCAGTCACTCTCAGTCTAATTTTATTTCCTTTCTCTTCTCCCCCTGAATGAAACTCCACTGGGATCGACAGCAGTCTGGGAACAAACAGTTCTGGGACTTTCTCATTTTCAAGACGACAGCTCCTGACAGGTCCTCACGAGCTGCGGTCTTTAACCATGAGGAAGCCTCCTCAGGCCCCAACACACACACCCGCCCGTGTTCATGAGAGAAGCACAAGCACAGGCTGTCAGGCTCCCAGTCCCAGCAGGTTTGAGCGAGGACAGCTGTGCCCAGATGTTCCTGCATTTTGCTGCCGTCAGGAGAAAATTCACCCCATTTATTTTTCAGAAAGAGCAGCGTTCATTCTTTCTGTGGAGGGGGTGGGGGGAGATGTTTATTTTCTAAAACAATCTCCTTCCTGGAGAAGGAATCTTGAGTCTCTGGAAACAGGGAAAGGAGTGCAGGAAAGGGCACAGCACAGCCGGCACCCCAACGCACTGTCTGGGACAGAGTCTGGGCTCCCCACCAGCGCCCCACGGTCTCCACCTGCTCAACTCTCCCACTCACCCCACTTCCCCGCCACCCACGGGCCCAGACGGGGTGTGACTGACCGGCCAGTGCCGCAATCGGAAGGCTTAAGTCACCTCAGCAGGGCTGGTGGGCGCACTGCCACTCTGGGCTGCACTGAGACCCCCCAGGCTCTTTCAAAGTTTCCCACCCCCCCCGCCGGGACCCCAGCCCCCCACTCACCGCACGGCCCTGATGAGCGTCTTCACCGCGGGGATCACCTCCTCCATGGTGACGTCGCAGTGGGGCGCCTTGTCCTCGGCCCCATCCTCAGCGGGCGCCTCCACTGCAGGGGCACAGAGAGGGGGGGGGGCTCAGGGTTTTGGGAAGCTGTGGAAGCGGTCCCGGCGGTCCCGGCGGCGCCGGCGGGGGGCTGACCATCGGCCGAGGGGCGGGGCTTGAGCCTCAGCGAGGTGCGGAAGCGCGTGCGATCGTTGAAACTCCAGCTCTTCTGCACTCTGCCGGGGCTGGTGGCCTCGGGCACGCTCTCGGAGCTGGGGGAGCGCCGGCCCCCCGTGGGCACCGCCGGGCCTGTGGGCGCTGCCGGGGACGCCTTGCTGCGCAGCGCCTGGCTCCGGGAGTTATTCATCCGGATCCGATCCCGGAAGCCCATCTTCCCACTGCGCCGCGGGCAGGAGAAGCAGGAGAGCTCTTTCAGCAGGGGTCACCCAGCTGCCAGGCCAGAAGCCGGGGAAAACAGCTCCCACAAGTCCCGGCCCCAGAGATCTGCTGTGTCGGTACTATTTCACAAATCAACCTCATCCAAACCATCTTTTAAAGGCCATTTCCCCCAACTTCCTAATTAAGAAATATGATCCAATTGGGAAAGTAACTTACTCCAACACTACTTTTAGAAAATATCATAAAAACAGGATGTGTGGCACGGTTAGAGAGTGAAAATATTGTACCTACACAGCTCCTGCTTCTGGGGAGCCACAGGGCCCTGCAGTTATTGTTCCAGCTGGAGTCCGAGACACAGTTTGCTGTCCAGCCCTCTGTTCAAACTGTTGAACTATTTTCTTTAGCCTTGGCAGGCCTGTGGCTCCCCAGGAGCAGAGCTACGGATGATGGCTATGGAGAGGAAAGGAGACCTGGGCGATGCACAACACGCAGGGTCTGGAATGGAGATGTGTTGACCCAAGACACTTGTACCCTCAGCAACATGCAGGCCAGACACTTGTATTCTGTCGTTGTGCATTGTGTAGAATAACGTTCAAGGGCTCTGAAATACAGTGCAACACCTAACATGCCTACTGCACTGTGAAAGCATTGCTTAGAGGATTCCTAGTGACTTGCAGTAGGGGGCACTCTGATGTGTAAAGTACTAAAGACTAAATCAAGAGTAAATTATTCAAAATCACACCCTGGAACACAGAATTTTGCAAAACTTCTGGAAAAAATTGCATGGACAAAAAAAGTGCATTTTATTTTAGCCATGATGAAAACTTCTCATAGTGTATAGATAGTATAGACAAATCTTAAGGGAAATCTTAAGGGACTGGTTCTTTTGCAAGGAAAATACTTTGTTTGCATTTTTTTAAACGAATTGAGCCATTAAACCTGGAGACCTGGAGAACCAGGTAGCTCTTACAATTGCAACACTTGAAACCGCAGAGCAGCTGGTTCGCTGGTTCGCACGGAGAAAAGGCGCAGGCGGCCGCAGAGGAGGTAGCCAGGGAGTCTCACTCTTCCCAAGAGACATCACGGGTTTTGAAACCCATCCTCCGGGGCTGAAGGGACGTGGCCCTTCACCAGACCCCACCTGCGGGCCCTGTGTCTTTCCCGCCACACGAGGTGGTTCTGCTGGTCATCCCAGAAGTCCGACACAGCCCCTGCTGGGCTCCCTCCTGCACAGACCCCCGCAGAGCCCCTGTCCCACCTGGAGACAGGAGGAGGCGCAGCAGGGCGCCGCACACACAAACAGCTTTAGAGCCTTTCAAGCAGGTTGTTAAGAGGAGCGCGAATCCAGGTCTCTGGAGGTTACGGGTGTTTTCCGTGTCCTGTCTCTGACACCTCACATGCTGATCAAACACGTCCCAGAAGGGAGAGTCACAGCTGATTCTTGTATCAAGCGTGCAAAGCTGCTCCGGCTCGTTAGGAAGAGGTGATTGATTACTGCTGTAGCAAACCACTTGCCAATAAATAATTGGTTTAACTTGCCATCATACTCAGAGCTGACAGCTGGCAAGAACGTTACAAGCAAGAGACACAGAGGCTCCAGCCGGGCTGCTCCTGGGGAGGGATTGCGAGTCGGACTGAGGGGTCCAACACCCCGCCAGTCCCCCTGAAAATCCCGGCCCTCAGAGGGGCCGACGGCTCATGCAGCATTCCCTCGGTACCAGCGCAGGCTCAGGGAAACATTCTGGACTCAGTCTGGCTGCGCAGCTGGGGAGAGTCGCTGTGCTCCTAAAGAGCTGGGAAAGGGCACTCCACTCACAGACGCATCACGGATATTCTCAAACCTGTCGCCCATAATCACACTGGAACTAACATTGTGCAAGCTCTGCAACATTCATTACGTTTCAAATAAACAACACACTACAAATATTTTGCAGTCTGGTTTTGTTCTCTGGATTGCTTCATAAGCTTACTGTTGATTTACGGCTATAGTAACAATCCCTGTCCCAACCTGAGCCCATGCAGGGAGATATCAACCCACCTGCTTGTTCCAGCTCCTCATAAAGTGCCAAAATAAGACAAGACCCTGAGGTACCACCTGTCTAAACTGGCACAGTGGTGTCCTTCCTATAAGATCAGATCACTTTATTAGCCCTATACAATTTCTTGTATGAGGAATTTGTCTTTTCTCATATCCCAGCTTGCTCTCCATGAGACACCCAGACAGGGAGAGAAGCTGGGGGTCAGAGCGCAGGGTAAGTCATTTATACGGCGCCCCTGGAGCAGCTGGGGTGAAGGGCCTTGCTCAGGGGCCCAATGGAGTAGGATTCCTCTGCCGGCCGCAGGATTTGAACCGGCAACCTTCCAGCCACAGGCGCAGATCCTGAGCCACAGAGCCACCACTCTGCCCTGAAGTACCACCTGTCTAAACTGGCACAGCAGTGACCTTCCTGAAGTACCACCTGTCTAAACTGGCACAGCGGTACACCATTCTGTACCAGCTGCCAAGCTTCTGGCAGTGTGGCGTAGAGAGTAACAGAAGAATCGCAGCAGAGCTGAGTTCAGAATATTGCCATACTGGTAGTACTTCGCTTTATTTCATTCAGAAGTGAGGAGGAGGGAGGGATGAGGGGTGAGAGGCGAAGGGTTAGGGGTTGCCGTGGATACCTCTGCTTGCGGCCGGCGTGAATCCGGAAGAAACTCCGCTTATTATTAAAGAGCTGACTGTTGAGACAGACACAACGGAGAGCGAGAGAGGTAAGGGGCCAGGCGGAGACACAGAGAGGCCAGGGGACACCGGGGGCAAGAACAGAGGTGAAGGGTGGGGCAGAGATACAGAGAGCAGAGGAAACGAGGGAGAGAGACGGAGGGAAGGGAGGCAGACTGGAGAGGGAAGAGAGCGCAGGGCCAGTGGAGAGCCCCCAAGAGTGAGAGAGCAGCACAGGGACAGAGGGGGGAGCCGCGGGATGTCCCCCACTCTTCACTCGGGCCCCCTGAAGCCTCTTCAGCAGAAGATGCACTAAAGGAATGGAGGGGGTTCAGGAATCGCTCGATTCCATACCTCAGGCGCGCCCCCACTTTCATTTCAAAAATGAAACCCATAACTAGCATCGCAAGCCACATCCAGCTCTTCAGCCACTATGGACGTGTGACACCCCAGAACCCCTGTGGTGTGTAAGAGCGCCCGCGTGACTCTGAGCATTACAGCAGACAAATACAAGAACCCGCGGCCCTCCTGCTCCAAACCGCCCATGTTTGTCTATCCCACAGAAACAAGGACAACGGCAAAGAGCACAACTCCAGCAGGTCAGCTGGGAGACGGCTGTGCTGAGCCCCCCTCCCCCTTCACGAGCCCTGGGACTCCTCACAAACCTGCACTGGGTCTCCTCCTTCCTGTGAGTCAGCGTGGGGAGGGGATGGAGAGAGGAGGGAGAGAGACAGCATGAGGAATGGGCTGCCAGCTGCGAATGAGAACACATCGGCACAAAGACACAGACAACACATCGCACAGCAGCCCGTCAGGCCACAGGGCGTGAGGGCAGAGGGAGAGAGAGAGGGAATGAGTGAGGAAGAGTGAGAGTGAGAGAGAGGGAGAGGGAGAGAGGAAACACAAAGTTTCAACAGGAAGGACAAACTTGGAGAACAGGTGTACGTGGTCTCCTTATGCCATGGCAACAGCTGGACAGAGATGCTGCACCTGCACTGGACACTGGACACTGGACACTGGACACTGGACACTGGACACTGGACACTGGACACTGGAGTCTCAGACCACCAGTGCCTTTGTGAGACGCACATCCTGGCTGAGGAACCCAGTCCTTATGGACACCCGCAAGCATCCTTTATTTTTCCTGAAAGGAGTCCTGTAGGATACTTTCAACGAAGCAGAGAGTGCGATTCCTGGCAAAGGCACCCTGGTGAGGCGCTGGACCACCCAGCAACTGAAGCGAACGGCCTCCTCTCTCCCAACCCTGTGCTGTGTGAGGTGTGCAGGGCGGCTGCGTACCTGTCCCCCGGCAGGCAGGGGGAGCCGTAGGGCCGGAGCCCGGACAGCAGGGTGTGGTGCGAGATCGGCAGGACCTTCTTGGCACTGCGCTGTCTCTGCAGGTGGCTGAACAGCACCGTGAGCTCCCTGCGCACAGACACGATCGCGCCAACAGCCGCCACACAGCGGAGCAAAGCAACAGAAAGTCAAATTAAACAGCAGGCACAACTGAACCCAAACCTGAAAGGACAAAGACAGGGTTTCCACTGCCAGGGAGGGAAATCATGAGCTCATTTCTCAATGAAAAAGGCTCTGTGCTTTCAGACTCTGTAGACTTCAGTGCTCAGTGCCCTAGGGGCTGAGTCACACCGGACTTCCCTTCAGGGCTAGAAACCCAGTCTTTTTAAACAAGCTCGACAGAAATAAAGAGAATCAGAAAAAAGCCAGCTGAACAGAATACAAATAATATCAAAATAATAATGATAACAATAAACATAATGATGATGGTGATGCTGATGATTAGGAACACAATGATGATGAAGGTGATGGCAATGAAGATGATATAAGGTGTTCGTGTGTTGCTGTTTGCGATCTTGATCGTGTCAGGCAGCGGGTGGCCTGCACCGTGTCAGGCTGCTCAACAGAGGGCGCTGGCGCGCAGCACACATGGCTGTAACAGGAGAGCCTTTGTACCTCCGTGTGCCTGGAAACGTACCCTGTGCTCAGAGCTGCTGCCAGGGGCTGCAGGGAGAAGTAAGAGGGACCCATTGTGTGGGTGCTCCTCAGCCTCGTGAGCTCACACGAGTGACGCCCTGCGGGCTGCAGTCCCGCGGCACAGCCACCGAGAGCCACACCGAGCCCGTCTCACTGGCCTCTCTGACCTGCAGGTGTCCCGAGACGACCCTCTGACTCCTGCACCGGCGGGTACAGGCCGGGCGTCTGTGGCTGAGGCTGGGCTGAACCCGTGATCTCTCCCTCTGTCGTCCGCCTCCCGTTTCTGCGGGGTCTCTCAGACAGGGGCGGGCGAGCAGGGCGGCTCTGGGCGCTGGGTACCCACCTGAAGGAGGGCAGCATGCTGTCGTAGAAGTACCAGGTGGCGGTGAGGTAGGAGTGGTTGACATCGGTGGAGTAGAGCCGCCACGCTGCCTGCGGACACAGAGCACGCTCCGTTTACAGGAGCTCGTTAACAATTACTCCTCGCAGAGCAGGAAGCAGACGCCAGCACTGTGGAGGTTATTATTACCTCCCGAGAGGTGAAGGGGAGAGACTGGGGCAGCACAGAGGGGCTCGGGCTCTGTTCCTGGGGGACCCAGCTACACAGCTGGTTGAACTAATTAACTGCAATATGTCTGACCTACCTGGAGGTGTTTCTTAGGTAAACCTCCCTGCAATGAAGTGAGGATTTTTGAGCAGTCAACTGGAAAAGACCTTGAGAAAAATTCTGTTTGTAATTTAACTCAACATCCAGGTCGGGGCAGAAACCAGACTCCAGGCCCTCCAGGAGCCCAGGAGGAGTTCAAGAGCCCTGTTGGGGCAGAAGAAAGACCAGAGTGGACGTGCAAGGACAGCTGACCACATCTTTGATCTTACTGACCCGCAGCGTCCCCCTGTCTCCTGGGCTCAGTATTCTGGACAGCATGCCTTACACTGAGCTTCAGCGCCAGCAGGCCCATACCTGGATGAGGTTGGCAGCTGGCATGCGTCTCTTCTCGAAGTGCTTCTGCCGGTGCTGCTCCTGCACCTTCAGGGCGAAGCCGGAGCCCAGGATGCCCTAGCAGAGAGAGGGGCAGGAGACCGTGAGGACCCCACTGCCAGCCCCCAGGGGGCATAACGGCGCTCAGGTCACCAGGACGACCGGCCACGGCAGAGCAGGGCGCCAACACTCACCGCTGGCAGAGCGAAGAACGACACTCCCAGCAGGGCGAAGCCAGCTGCCAGCACCCTGCCCAGCCACGTCCGCGGAGTCTTGTCGCCGTAGCCGATGGTGGTGAGCGTGATCTGAGCGCAGGTGGAGGGAGGGAGGGAGAGAGAGGCAGTTAGGCAGAGGCACGTGATCAGACAGCTCAGCCCAGTCACATCAGGAGAGGACGGAGTCTCTCTGGGGCGCAGGACTCACCGTCCCCCACCAGAGGGAGTCGGCGTAGGTGGAGAACTCGGTGTTGCTGTCCTTCTCTGCCAGGTAGACTAAGAAGGAGGCGAAGATGAGCACCAGGAAGCCGATGTACCAGGCGGTGATGAGCTCCTGGCCAGGGCAGGGGGTTAATATTATCAACAGCGAGACAGTGTCACACTGTCACAACACCGCACAGCAGAGCTAGAAAACTCGTCATCAGTCAAGAAGTCAGCAGTGTGTTCCTGTCTCTCAGAT